AATGATATTCAAATATTCGCGTATATATACAGTTAGAACTTAATGGATTTTTTTTTTTTTTTTTTTTTTTTAATTATATAGTTAAAGATTTAAGCAATAATTATATTCCATGATTAAAGTGAGTTTCAAAATAAAAGTTATGAAGAAATAATGCTTCTTTTCTTATAATTAGAAGGTGTATATTGTTCTAAGAAACATTTCTTTCTCTCATTTTTACAAAAAAATTTTCTAATTAAAATTTATAAAAATTCTATGAGCGCGCAACTTCTTCTATTATATCAGCTCTATTAATAAAAAAGTTATTTTCTAATTATCGTAGTTAAAGTTATTAATTTTATTACTAATTCAAGCAAATATATATTTGTAAATAAATACATTGATCCGTATTTGGTTTAGCTAAGTTTCCCACTTTTCTGCATCTCGAGTATAAATAATATTATATCTCTATACATTGGAAAAAAGTGATATTCAAATTTATATTAAATTTGTAAGTTTGCAGTAGTTTCTACAACAAAAAATTTTACTTTCAAGTCACTTCCAATGACAATTTTGTTATTAAAGTACTTATGGAGAATATCGATTTAATTAAAAAAAAAAATATATATATATATATATATATATAATATGTATATATAAAGAAACTTATTATTTATATGACTGTAGTAAGGGATTCTGTTAGATTTTTATGTATTAACTTGGATAAAGTATGGATAACTATTATATTTTCAAAGAAATGAGCTGGTAATGGTAACGAAGCCCTTAAATTACAAGTAAATAATGTTCAATTTTCAAATATGATTGCATGCGAATCGAAGCAAATAGTAACCATCTTTTAATAATCTGTAATCTAAAATAAATAGTTAGAAAGAAAGTAAGAAAAAAAGATAGAGTCCATCAACATTCGTGATGAAATAGGGGTTGAAAGTAAAAATAGATATGTATGTTTAGATGACTATGTAGCTGTATAGCTAAATAGTAAAGGATTGAGAAAAAAAGTATGAATAATGACTAGTATTTAAAAATATAGTTCAATAATTATAGTGAATTATAGTGAAATAATGGAAGCACATATTGTGAAAGGATAATCAGTTGGAATGAAAAGAAGACTCATACGACGTCCAGCCAGTTACCGAGCACACAACTGAAAGAGCTAGAGAATAGCAGAGGGAGAGAGGGGAGAAAGAAATAAATGGTTCAATTAATGGGTTGCGGAAAAGAGGATAATTAAAGGCAATGTCCGATAATCAAGGAGTGAATTCAAATTTTCATACCTTGGAGAGATCTCAGAAATAATGCATGTGAGCTTGGGGCGTAGCCCCATAGTATGGACATTCAGGACTTATGGAAATCGATTATATAATGGTCGTAATAAATTTTTGAATCGACGAAGAAATTAAGGAGAGAGAGAGAGAGAGAGAGAGAGAGAGAGAAATGGAAGATATATTAAAGGCAAACCAAAGAGAGAAAAGTTAAAAGAAGGAGATAGAGGAGCAGTGAGTACGAAAAATGCAAAGAGAAATAATTTTCTACCGTTTCTCTGGTTACTTATAATTATAGTATATTTTAGTATACAAAATTATCATTATTTTCTTTGGATGGATAATAGAGAATAGTAAATACTGTTAAGAGCGATAAATACAAAATATTATTATGAAATGCGATTTTATGTTATCCTTTAGGTGGAAATGAAAAATACAAATACTATATAGAGAGAAAAGAAGAAACCGAGTTCAGTAGCAAGAAAAGTTTAGGAGTATCGAGGAACTATCAAGTTGAGAAAGAGAATGAAAAAGAAAAAATAGTCCTTGAAAAATACAAAAAGGGTCATCAGTACCACTGGATTTAGTAGTTGTTGGTGACAAAAAGAAGTGTGTTGTAACTCGTTGAGTAAAGAAGTACTTCGCTCTCTTTTCTCTCCTTCTTATTAACTGTATCTATTTTAAAAGATAATCTATTGAAAATTTATTGCTTTTTAATAAATCTACGTATTAATAATAACATTTTTAATCTATAGTTTCAGTTAAGAAGAATGTTGTTCTCAATAATCAACCTGTGTAATAATATTTAAAATAATTTCGTAATGGTCATACTTATGATTCGGATATTTGATCATGAATTGTTTCATTATTTCCAGAGAAAAGTAATTAAAGATTTCTTCTATAGTTTAAAAAATAAAAATAAAATTCAAGCGAATCTTTTAATATGCCTAACTATCTTGCGAATAAAACTAGAAAGCATAAAGTGTCGACATGACAAATTAAAGCGAAAGAAAACAAAAACAGATGAAATTAAATGTTTATTGTTCCAGCGAAAGACCACGACACATAGGACTATAAATATTCATACAAATAGTCACTTTTACAATACAATTATGGATTTTCGTAAAATCCTTATGCAGTTTTAAGATATAATCTAATATGTGTACTACGATATAGTTTCTTAACCTGGGAAATTGCATAACTTGAACTTCATAGTCACACCGTCATTGCAATTCGCGAAAGGAATCGCAGACAGAAGCACTCGCAAACCTAAAGTCACAGACAGTTAATCTTGATTTCCTTAATGCATACAAATGCAACTGTACAAGCTATCGTTCTATCATCAAAAATCACGTGCAAATTTATAAGAAATGAGCAGAAATCTAAGTTCACTGGATCAAAGACTTTTTACGATTTGAATTTTTGTACGACGATGTCAACTTTCAAATTTTTATTTGACTAATTATAATCAAGTATTATAAATGAATATATATATATATATATATATATATATATATATAATTAAAATGGAGTTGGTGAATTTAAATATTATCTCATAATAAGAATAATTTATTTTAGGTAAAGTTTGTTCATAATAAGAGCAAAAAACTTTTATGTCTCGATACGTGAACGATATATGTATCATCTTAGATTTATTTTAATTTTATAAGTATCAAAAGGTTATTAGTCTTAAAATTTCAATTATAAATATATAAATTAATATATAAAAATATAATATTAAAAATCAATTTTTAGTTCAGTTATTACTAAATAAAACAAAAATGATCCGCGTAAGGATTATTTCAAAAATAATATTTTACTAGAAACTTAATATAAATTGACAAAAAATAGTTATATTTACAGTCTTTTAATAATAAACATAGAAACTGATAAATGGAATAAAATTTTCAATTTCATAGTAGTTGATTTGGCATTATTTTTGTCTGTGGAAAATTGAATATTTTCCAATTTTTTCGTATTTGATGCTAAAAATGAAAAAAAAAATAAATAAAATAAAAAATAAAAACTATCTTTATATAATATTGGTCTTATTCTTATTCGAATTATTGTCTTTAGTAAATAATTTATATGTCAGAGTATTACATTTGTTTTTCAAATTACTTAAATCTGTTATTCGACATGAAACATTAATTTTGTTCATCATACCCCATATCATATTATATTATTACATAACATCCCAATTGATTCATTAGAATACATTTATTATGTTACATAATATGTCTTATATTTACTAATTAATATTAATAATATATAATCATTGAAAATGAAATATGCTTTTTGCGCATCTTTAATAATTCTTATGAAAAAAAAAAAAAAAAAAAACTAATAATAGAATATGAAAAAGTTAAACTGAAAATATTTTTACTTCCTTATTATAATTCCTTATAATTGTTATCAAGTATACAATTATTGTTAAATGATATATTATTCTATTTATGTAATCATCGCATTTTATTTTTAACAAATTATTGTGTAAATTTATTATTAAATTTTTTTTCTTCTTTTAAATATATGTTGATTTAAATTTATATTAATTTTATCGAAAATGCTTCAGTATAAAAAAAGAGAAATATTTAAAAATTAATTCGAAATCTAAAAATATTTATCTTATTTAAATATATATATTTTTTTGAAATACATATTCCCTGTTTTATAAAAATAATCCATATTGTAAAAAAATTCTTTCACTTAAACGCATTAAAAATAGAGAAGAAAATTTCAATATAAATATCAAAGTAATATTTTACATAAATGACAGCATTGGATTATATAAAAATATATACTGAAGATTAAATATTAATGATAGAATTATAACAATACAAATTTTATAATTATGTTTTACGGAAAACATAAGTTTTTATTTTTCATTTTCAAAATAAGTATATAAAAATTTTCTAATTTCATATATATATATATATATATAACAAAATTTATATATAAAAATATAACATTAAGAATATTCCGCAGGGAATATCTACTAAATTTCCGAAAATTCACTATTTTTATGAACACTTCCTTTTGATATACCATAAATTATATTATTTTATAACTTATAGATAAATGATGAAATAACAGAAACTTATTATCTACACATGTTTGAAGTAATAGCAGAAATGGGATTATGTCAATTTCAAATGTTAAATTAAATTTTGACAATTCTTTAAAATTATCGGAATTTTTTTTCATAATTCATCTTATTCTTTCAGCATTTTCAGAATTTCAAGCAGAGTAATACAGTTACTTAAATAAATCAATTCGCCACTTTATCTTGTTGTATTTTATACCTCATTTACAGCATTCATTTAATTGCGAGTATTTGTTTGTTGTTGGATATGATTTACATTTCTTTCATAATGAATATAATAATATTGTGAAATGTTTAAAAATGTGTGAATAGATCAATTATAAGTGGATGAATATAACACTAATTATTCAGCTTTAAATTCTTTAAATTTATTATATTATATTTTTTTAAAATCTATTTGTCTACCCACGTAAATAACGATAAAATATATTTAAATATTTATCTAAATATTAGAATCAATATTTCACGTTATACTAAAGAATTTTCATTTTAAATTTAATTATTTATCTATGTTTTTTTTTCGTATTCAATACATTTCATCTTGTGCGTTAAAAAATACTAAACTCAAATCTTTTTAGAGTGTAATTTAATACATATTATAAACTTTAATTACCATAAAAATATTTTTATTTCAGAATGAGCATGATTGTCCCAAAAAACAATATGACCAAGTCTTATTTGAAAATTTCAAATTTAACTTTGGACGATGAATCTTTATATAAGTGTGAAGTAACATATCTGGCTGTCAATCGTGAATGCAACAATGTTCAGCATATAACACTGAATGTGACAGGTAAAAAAAAAAATATATATATATATATATATATATATACACATACATAGACATCAATTATAACCATTTGGAATTTACTCACAATATATATGATATATATATATATATATATATATATATATATATATGGGAATAATGTAACGGGGTAATGAAACGTATAATAATAACAATAATACAAATAATAGATACTATAAAAATTAAGATTTAAAAAAATTTTTTTATTAATCATGTGATCATACATTACCATATATTACATAATATATAAAATATAAGAATTAATTAATATTAATTATATTCTTGCCTTAATATTATATTAATTACTTATAGAATCTTACTTATAGAATTATTATACATTGAATTTACGCAATTTACGAATGATTGTATTATCAAATTAATTTGTTATGACATATTTTTGTTGACCTTTTATGAAATAAAATTTATTATTTTATCACCAACTACACATAATTTACTTAGTATTACTATGCATCGAAATTATTATTTTACACATCTTATTATCTATCTGATCTATTTTGAGATGGAATTTTGAAACTTTCTTTCCGATAATCTATTACGGATAATAATATATAAGCCAGCCTATACAAATATTTACATGCAAACATATCACGCAACATTTGCAGATATTTTCGCGAAAAATCTAACGTTACGTGTAATTTATTTTTTGTATATGAAAGCAAATAATGATTAAGCAAACAAAATATCCAAAATATCGGAAGTGTATGTTAGTGTATAAAATGAATGTTCCGTTATACCTGCATGAATATTGTGAGTTGAGGACAGCGATGAAAGAAATGCGAGAAAAACATAAAGAAGTGTTGAGAAATTTTTTTGCGAAATGGTTAGTAAGAAAGACGAATGAGAAAGCGAAAAAGAGGGAGATAAAGGGAGAGAGAAAGAGTTAGCGATGACTACCTCTTTACTTTCCCAAACGCACAATCTCGCGAAGCTAGGCGTAATAAATGATTTTAAACTACCCGTTTCGACACTAGGGTCGTTTGCTTTTTGTTCGACACTTCTAACTCTCTTGAATTCTCTCTCATTCGCATTCTTCTTCTTATGCTTTGCTACTAACACCGTGGTATGCAGAATTAAAAATTGAAAGTATTTTAAATTAAATAGTCATTTTGCTTTGTTTTTATACAATAATTCTAGATAATATTATAGACTCATTTCTGTATATATATTATTTATGTTGTATTTTCTCATTGTATTTTCTATGAAGAAGCCTGCGTCTAAATAGCATCCTAGAAGAAACTTGAAACTAGGTAGAATGTGTTCTCAAATGAAAACTTTATAACAACATTCGCACTTGTTCACTTGCAATAAAGTTTCATCGGAATGACTGAGAAATTTACTTTACTCTGAAAAAATTACGCTTTACATTTGGAAGAATAGAAATTTATTCCTATACAATTTATTTACCATTTCATCGGAACGAAGTATTATATATCAGGATAAGAGTATTTTAAATCAGTTAAATGTTAGTGAAATTCAATTTAGTTAATTACAGTTAAACACCATTGCTCAATAATACATGATATTTTATGTTAAATAAATAAGAGTAAATATATTATTACTATTTATATAAGTTTGGCGTAAATACAGTAGAGTTGGTCGTTCTATTAAACGTTCTATTAAAAAATCAATAGTATCTCAAGAATACCAACCAAAATACAAATAATTTATCGTTCAAATTATATTAGATTTTGTTTTACTTATTAACCGCTTCATTACTTTTATGATTGTATATTTGACGTAAAATTATACATACAATTACTTATATAATTCAAGCATACAATTATGCTTAATTATAAACTCACGTACACGCACGCGAGCTTACACACACGCGCGCGCGCTCTCGGTAGAACGTTATATTATAAAATAAATAATTAATAATTAAATTATAATTGTGGAGTGATTGCTAAGGTATTATTTTGTGCAAAATGCAAGGAAATCGGTGACTAAAGCTTTCTTTATAAAAATATGCCAATGCTTTGTTATTAAATAAAATATTACGAAATTTAAAGTATGAATTTAAATTTTCATCTCGTTAAAAATCTATATTAATATTTTATCATTTTGTAGCAGTTTTCCTATGAGTCGTAAGTAACTGTATAACCGATATTTTCAATACCAATTCTAAACTGGTTTATTTAGAATTGGCTAACTCCAATATTTGTAGATTTCTACAGATTCTAGTACTTTAGTTGACTTTAAGTATAACATAGTGAGTTTGTTTAATGCTATTGCCCACTATGGCTTTAACTTAAGTTTAAGAAAACAAAACCATAGAATATATCAGTGTATTTAAACTTGAATTCCAATTTTATTTTAAAATAAAATACGGTCAATATTAAATTACCAATCAGAAGTAATTTCTAAACAATGTTGATTGTAAGTTTCCAAGTACTAAATCTAACATTCCTGATAATATTTTAGTGTAGCATTGATCCTAATAGAAATGCATTTATTTACGCCTATAGATGCACATGCCCTTAGGTAATATTAATAATCCGTATGTAGATAAATACCATAAGAGAGAATGGAGCATATATATTTAATATTTGATAGGTGTTATATAACATCTTGCAAAATTAAATAAAAAATATTCAATTTTTTAAAAACAGATGATAGAGCATTGTTAATAAAGATAGAATATTAATAGTTAAAAATAAGAGTAAAATATATTGTAAGCATGTTTTTTGAAAAAACTATTGATATTTTAAAAAGATTCGTTGAAATGTAAATATTACGTACTAACAAAAGTGATACCTCAATAAACAAATGTGTTTTTCAGCATCTCATTTTCCAAAGAAAAATAATCTTTTTATGATAAGCATAATCATAATATCTGCTCATCCATCTTTTTTAAATCTTCTATCATTCGTCACCCTTTCCTTATTATTGTCCTTTACATTCTGTGCTTCCTTTTTCATTGTGGTTCGCGTCTTTGAAAATGACTAATTACCCATACTATAGGATAGGCTTTTTCACTTCAGCAGTCCGATTAAATTTTAGATAAATTAATTTATAGTACAAAACTTTATGTAAATCCGAATCATTCACCAAATCCACAGTGCGGTATTAATAACACGTTTAATTGATTTATACAGCCGGTCGAAAATATTTACACACACGCGCGCGCACACATATATTTACAAATGTACACAAAACTAGAAGAAAGAAAAAAGCCCTTGAGACGATAAGAATCCTCATGCGAGAATTTCTTCTGTGAGCTTACCTATCCCCTTCCTTTCACGTACACTCCGGCGCTCTCATTTTCTCCACGGTGACAAAGTTTTTCCCTTAGTGAGATAAGACCAAATACATCTGCCAGGGATAAGCACGTTTTATCGCTAAAAAGTATACGGGACTTTAACTTTTTTTATTAATTTTAATCCTGACTTTGTGATAATGGGATCCTGGCTTAAATTTTATAATTTTTACAATAAACATTTTTCAAACAATTGTATTCTCTTGAAATCTATTTTTCAACCTTTTACTTTATTTGTTTTCAAACCTTAGTCGCGTATATTTAATAATTAAATTAATATACGGAATAAGAAACGTATTATTAAATTCAGTCAATATTATATAAGTTACTATTATTAATTATTAGCTTTTATATATATATATATATATATATATATATATATATATATATATATATAGCACTAAAACTCTTAAATTACTGTTGATGCAGATTTTGTAAACAATTATTCTTATAAATATTATTTTGTAAATTTGACTTTATAAAGTTATTTTTTTAATTCATTCTAGCACAAATATTTAAAGTACTGTAAATGATTAATCGCACTTTCATTCAACGAAAAGCCCTACAATCGCTTAAAAATAGAAAGGTAATTTAACCTAATTAAGTGTAACGCGGCTTCAAAGAAATTTCTATTATTACGTCATTTTAAAACAGATTTAATATAACGGATATCACGCACTACTATATAATATAGTTGTCAGAGACTGGTTATACGACGATTAACGAGTCAGATTTATTATTAAATAAACAATCTATTATTGAAGTATTTTCTAATAAAAATTAATTTCAATATAATAATTTTGAAATTATTTATAGACTTTAATGTTGTATTATGAACAAATTATGCTAGCTAAATTTCAATTCAACAAATGAATATTAGTCATAAAATACTACAATTAATTTATTAGAGCAATTATAATTATATTTCATAAGAATGTACTTACACTACAGCAATTTAAATTTACTACAAATTATATTTTTATGTTATATATATAAATATATATATATATATATATATATATATATATGTTTCTATTGAAATATTTTAAAATATCAATGAATATATTAATAAAAATCATAATTATCCACATCTTAATATTTTATAGAGAATTGCATAATATATTCAAATATAATTTTTAATTTTTATCATATTTTTTATATAGAAAATTTATTTTCCTTTATATTCCGATGAATGTATCAAAATTCTGACTTTACTACAACGTAAATATTTAAATAGAGTTTAATGATGTTTACTTATCATCGAGTTGGTTTACTTAAAGCTCATTTATTTTTCGATTTCACCGTTCAAACAATATACTGTTCTTTATATATTACTCACAGCATTTTTACGAAATACCTAATTTTTCGGATTTTGTTACTGTTATAATATATATTTATATATATATATATATATATATATAGAATATATTTAGTTATTCATTAATTCATTCATGCATCCATTTATTTGATCATTACATTTACACTTTAGTTGATTTTAATAATGTTTAAATTGTATATTATTTTAAATAATAATTTCTTATCTGAAAAATTCCATCTTCGAAATTGTTAAACAAGCGATTTTGTATAAAAATTAGAAATTTTTGATATTACATTATTTGAAGTAGAATCTATTATATCGTTTTTTATAAATCTGAAATATATTGTAATGTCACATTTAATTGAAATAATCCATCGTCTTCTTGTTTAGTGCAGATTTGAAAACGATAATTCTATTGTAATTAATTTTGTCATTTTATGGTAAAATTATAAGTATATATAATTTGATTTTTAAAATCAATATGTCATTTTATGAAGTATTTCATAAAAATCTTCATTGACAGTTGATTAAAATTTTAAACAATAATCAAATCTTTGAAGGTAGTTTTTCCTGACAGTTTTAAACATTTATTTATTAGTTAAATTTTTTTTTGTAAAACTGTTTGGTTCGTGTAATTAAACATAATTATATTTAAATACAGACATATATATATATATATATATATATATATATGTATATATACATTCTTTTTATTGTTTATGAATATAATT